TACAACCCGAGACCGTGGACCTTGACGATACACTAGCTTACGAAGAAAAACCCGTAAGAATCCTGGACACCAAGACAAGAACCACCCGCCGACGAGCCATAGAAATGGTAAAAGTCCTCTGGACCAACCATGGGACCGAAGAAGCAACATGGGAACTCAAAGACACAATGAAAGAACGCTACCCCGAACTCTTCACACCAGGTAACCAAGACGAAAGCATATGATAAGGGAAGAAGTTACTCTGCAAGGACCAAAGCTTCGGGGACGAAGCTTCCCGTTAAGGGGGGGAGAGTGTAACACCCCGTGTTACAGCCCATAAACCAATTAATTAATTACCCAGAAAGAAAGATTAAAATCTCATAAACTAGGAAAGGCCCACCCTAAGCCCATGAACCCCTATCCCTAAATCCAACTCCTTAGTCCTATAAGGAATAGGATTAGTGAACCCATGCCACTTAGACCATAATTAGGACTCTTAATTATATAAATAGGGACATAGAAGGCACCTAGAACTCACACCACAAATAATCCCTCACCACACAAGAAAGTTCCAAGAACTCCCTTAGGAGAAATCAAGAAAGGAGAAATCTTAAAGAAAGACCCTTCATAGCCAAGGAAATTAATTAAGGCTAAGAGGTAACCCATGTCTCAACAAAACCTATTTTATTCGCTATAATCTCCTTCCTTGGCCTCCCTCTATATTCTTGTGTCTTGATTGAACTCTTCTATGATAATTATGTTATGTTCTTGATGATTGATAAGATGATTTATATGCTTTCTTGATAATCTTGATAATCTTAATGTTGTGAAGAAGTCCTTGATTATGATGTGATGATTCTTGACGAATCTTGATATTTTCTTGATGTTAAAGATTAAATACGTTCTTGATGATTTGGGGGGGATTAGAGCCCTAGGTTGAATTGGGAATTTGTATTATGATGTTCTCGATTTGTATTTGGGAGAGAATTCGCATGTTCAGGTGTTGTTTAAATTTAGGAGTCATAATAGGATAAGTCCTACATGATTCTTGCTTTTGATCCGTTAATTGCTTACGTGGTGTCGTTATTTGCGTTTAAAAGTGTCTAAGCATGGTTTCGGGTTCCACAAAGGTCCCCGGGACGAATATTTGAGAAAAGAGTCAGTGGGGGGTAGGTGGGGGTGGGGGAACCCACCACCTACCCGCGGCCCAGAAGGGCGCTGCCCGGCAGCGAGCAGCCACCGGGCAGCCGGCTACCCGCTGGTCCGCACCCCACCCCGGGTCCCGGCTTCCCCGTTTGATGTTCCCCGTCCCCCATGGTGTCCCAACGGACCCCGTTTGTCGTGCATGAGTCTAGTTTGGAATTTCGGGTACTATTCGTAGGTTAAACGAGTCTTAGGAATTGCATGCTAGTTGAATTGGTAACCCGTGGACCTAGGTGGAAGTTATATGAGCCCTTAGGAACTATTCTTAGTGTGTGAATGATCACATGTAAGCTTAATTATATGTTCCCCCTTCCCGATGTGAATAATGTGTCATTATGTGCTATTGTGTGTTACGTGATGCATGACCCCAACTTGGTTAAGACCAATTGGGCTATACAGGCAGTTGAATGGGCTGAGAACCATCTCAACTGTTAACCAGGCCGGTTAAGATCGGTCAGGGATATTAATGTGATATAGGACTGAGGTCCACTATACGGGCAGTTGAATAGGTTGAGAACCATCGCAACTGTTAACCAGGCTGGTAGAGACCGGTCAGGTATATAAAGATTATGTATAGGACTGAAGGTCCACATGGGCCTCGGTGATATGACCCACCGACCGGGATGCGCTAGGCGGTATGGGGCCAACAAGCCGAGGAAGGTTGTAGTCCACCGACCTGAGTAATCAGGCGGTGTGTAGGGCTACGACTGGCTGCGATCCACCGAGTGGTGGGACATCGATATGCAGGACCGTAGTCTCCGAGGATATTTGCCCACCGACTGAGTTTAGCTCAGCGGTGTGTCGGGCTTGATCCGCTACGGCCCGCCGATTGTGCGCACCAACGGTGTGTAGGGTCGTAAGTCCCCCCATGTAAAGGGGATCACGGTCCACCGACTGGGCGCGTCAGCGGTGTGTTGGATCGTGATTCGACGTTGAGTTCGTCAGTGGTTCTCCAAGGGTTGGTTGCGATCAACTCCCCTCGTACTGCGGTACTGAGGTAGGGTGCTGCGGGACCGTGTTAATGCTATAGGCATTAACCCTCATGTTCGGGGCATGCGATTGGTCCCGTGGCGCCATCGATGATTATGTGATATGAATGATGATTGGATGATAATGTGGATTGGAATTGAGAAGTGGCTTGTGACCGTAAATGCGTATTCCTTATGATGTTATTATTATTGTCTGATATGCTTATTCCTATTTGCTGAGTCTATTCCTGGTTTTAAAACTAGTGTCTCTTAAGTATATATCTTCCTGCTTCGAAATGATTTTTGTATATATATATATATATATATATATATATATATATATATATATATATATATATATATATATACTATATTTCAACGCGTTGGAGTGGGTTACCAGCATCTCTCGCTGAACAGATATATTTGGCTTTCAGGCACAGAGGAGTAGACACTGGAGCGCGCTAGAGACTTGGAGCGTAGAGTAGATAGTTTCTCTTTCGGCCTGCGTGCCATGCTTATGTATTTATATTATTGAGGATATTAGTTAGTTAGCCTGTGCACCTGAGTTCTCTAACTCAGGTGTGGCATAGCACCCCGTACTCCTTTATATTATGTTTTGGGATTTAATGAGAATCTACCTTTATTATATAAGTCTTAAAAATTGAAAAATTTCGGGGTGTTACAGTTGAATGTGCTTATCCCTATCTGTCGAGTCTATTCCGGTTTTGAAACTAGAGTTTCCTAGGATATATCTTCCTGCTTCAAAATGGTTTTTCTTATATCTTTATTTATATATATATATATATATATATACTTATACGGTATTTCAACGCGTTAGAGTGGGTTACCAGCATTATTCGCTGAATAGATATATTTGGCTTTCAGGCACAGATGATTAGCTCCGGAGCGCGCATTAAGCACAAACTGACGCACATTAAGCATTAAACTGACGCACTTTAAGTATTAACTCACAGACCTTAATCACTAACTCCACTCACCTTAAGCACAAACCACACGCACATTAAGCACAAACTCCACGCATATTAAGAACAAATCTCACGCACTTTAAGCACAAAAGCCCACACTTCAAGTTTTAACAACTACTTATATTAAGCACAAACCCGTGCACCTTAAGCACAAAACTCACGCACCTTACACACAAGACTCATGCACTTTATGTACAAAACTCACGCACATTAATCACAAAACCTCTCACCTTAATTTTGACCTAGATGCAAAAATTACAAAATTGCCACCGAGTTTTTTTCTTTTAATTTTGGTAATCTTAGATGTTGATTTAAGCGAGATGAATGGCTCAGATTAAACTGCACAACCGCACCTGAGGCGTTCACCCGTACCAGAACCGATTTCTATATATATATACTGCTATTTATATAGAACATACAATTTTACTTTATCAAATTAAAGCTCTTTAGATGAGTATTGTCTAAAATTCCACTTTTAAATGAGGCAGTAAAGGGGTGGCTTATTTATCAAATTCTGTTTTTTAGTTCCAGACTTCCAGTGGTGACTGAGTTCCAATAATAATGGAGAAGGCAGATCCTGCACAGATATTATATACAAGGATGAGACTGTGGGAGTTTTCTGATCAATAGATCATTGAGCCTACATATGGATCTTCTGGTTTGTGTATGGCAATCAGTCGGGCAGATGCATCTATGAATTTAATAGGTTTTCTACTACTTACTGACTTCTTGTTTGGTTTTCTTTTACTTATCTTTCCATCAACTAACAATGCATTTTACTTGGTGCATGTTTGCTTCTTTAGATGAAATGTCACATTGCATCACTGTTCGTGTTCCTAAAATTGAACAATCTTTGGCTTTGTTGGGATGCTTAAACTTGGTGCAGGCAAGTTGGAGTTATTTAATACTAACACTGTTTTAGTCCTGCTAGATCCTTAGTAGAATGCTATATTATCTCAAGAGTTCTTCTGTTGAACTGGTTGGCCTAACAATCTGCTTTGCCTTCTGTTTTCTCTTGAAAGCCTCTGAAACTGTTGTCTTTCTGACTTGTTCTTATTCACAAGGGGAGTTTAGACTTGGGGGCTAAATCCTGGGATTTATCTTTCGTAATTGAATATATTGTAATAACTAACAAGAAAGAATGTTTTGATAAATTGTTAGTCCTTTATATTTATCTATATTGTGAACTATACCTGCCACTTGTGATATGTCTCTACTGCTTAAATATTTGGCTAAGTATAGTTGTCTCATTTTCTCGATAATTATACAGTAATTCTTAGAGTACAAAATTTTCTATCTGTGTTGCAGTGCTCAGCGTTTACATGATTTGGGTGATGAGTCTAAGCTACTTCCACTTTGGAGACAAGTAAGCCTTTTTAATTCATATGGCTTTGAGCCTTTGACCTCACATAGTACACACACATATCTGTACACGACTGGAAATCTTGAGTTTTCCGTCCAACATTCGTTGGACGGAAAATGCGATATATTGGTCGGAAACAAGGTTTCCGTCCAACATACCGACCAAATTGAACGTTTGGAAAAACGCTTGTTGGAAATTCCATCCAACTCGAATTTTTGGTCGGAAATAACGTCCAACAGATAAAAATGGACGGAAATTCCGAACAGTAACCCACCATTCTTACAACGTGGGAATTTCCGTCCAACTACATGCATTAGTCAAAAATTCCGACCAACAGTTGGACGGAAATATTGAGTACTGAATGTTGTAATTTTCCTTCCAACTGTTGGTAGGAAAAATTTTAAACCATATGGAATTTTTTATTATTTTTATATTACCATAATTTTGTTTCTATCTGTTGTTAATAAATTATATGCCATCAACAAATTAATTGATACACTCAATTTCAAATTGAAAATATATTCAAACATCAAAATTATTTACAAGAAAAATTATGGTCATGTCCATAGTACTTCCAAAAATGTACGTACTATTATCATACCCCAAACAAAAGTCATGAAAATATATACTACTTAATCAATACTACTTAAGTATGCTCCCTGCACCCAAATAAGCCTTCAAATCCGGCACTGCTTCAATGGCTTTGGTCAATGCAACATCCACAGCCTTCTACTTCAATGACTTTGATCAAGTGTAAATGATGAGTATACCTGCAATGCAACTAACTTAAGATAATGGCTTCAAAGAAATCCTGATCTAAAACTTGGTAAGTAGATGATGGGTAGACCTGCAAATCTGCAATGCAGCGTCCTTCCTTTTTCTTGCTTGTCTTTACTTTTTCAAAGGAGGAATGGGTGGCAAGATGCAGGGTTGGGTCAAGGTTGAGCTCTCAGATCCCCTTAAATATTCTACATTTAGATGCATCAATGTCACTAGACTAAAAAGAAAGTAAACAGTTTTTTTGTTGGGTCCACAATCTAAACATGAATGCAGTGACTGGAGTGGTTTCCATTCTCTTTCATTTAAATTAGTTTTGAACAAATTAATTTGCAACAATAGTGCAGACTTTATGAAGTCTAATGTGCAGGAAAACAATAGTGTAGACGTAATATAGATTAGGAAGAAGCTATACTCACATTAACATTAGTGATGAAGTGACACACAACACACTTAACAGAGGGAGCTCCAAACGGATACATCAACATTGTACGGCAGTTTCCACAGTTAACATGAGCAAACTGGTTTATTCCTTTACTCTTTAGAGCAGCACTTACAGAGAAACAATTACACACTTATAATTCTATAGCTAACATAATACCATGCAAGCAAGCAAGCACACAAAAAAGATCATAAAGAATGAGAAATTTCTGTAGAAAATAATGAAATAGTTCACTTGAGCCATAAAGGAGGACTATGTATACCAATATTATTTATTGCATTGCAGTATGAGTACAAAATGCATACAATTCCATGCTCTTGAAGCCAGTCATTTACTACCAAGCAAGGTAAGAAAGTGCATCAATCAGGCAATGCCAACAATGTGATACCATAATTACCACCATCTGTGGTAGCTGTTCGGGATATGCAGATGGCATACCATAATTACCACTATATGAGTAACCTCCTGAACTAGGCATTCCAACAGAGATTAATAAAATTTCAAAGTAAGAAAAACATAGGGATTTAGGGCTTAATGAAATTATGAGATTTTGATAAATGGAATTAGGAATTACAGAAGAGTCCTCTGTCTCGACTGTGGTGGAGACAGGAAGAGGCGACTTTGGTTACGTTGATGAGCAACGGCTTAGGCATCTCGACGGTGGCGTACTGACCAGAGGTGGTGCTGGTGCAGGGTGAGGAGCAAGGCGTGGTGCAGATCTTCCTGACATCACAAACCATGAAAATACTAAAACAAACATAAATTAAAATCTCAAATTAGGGGAAGGGAATTGAGCTAACATCAAACTAAATATAAGTAGATATCACTGGTGGGAATTGGAAATCTGGAGCATCATAAGATACATATGTACAAATTCAACAACAAAATTAGGAATTTATTACTTCAACAATGAAATTACATTAAAAGAAACATACAGATTTAGGGTTTAATCAACTAACCTGACGGGAAGGACGGGAAGAGGCGTGCGAATGGAGAGACGGGGATTTAGGAATTAAGAATTAGGAATTAGGAATTAGGAATTAGGAATTAGGAATTAGGAATTAGGAATTTAGGGTTTAATATTTGAGTAATGAACTAACCTGTAGCCCAGAAGAAATGGAGATAGCGATGGAGATGCCGGCCAGCGACTTTGACGGGAAGGACGGGAAGAGGAGTGCGTTGGCTAAGGCAACAAAGCTCTAGTGCCGCAACTGAACAGCGAGAAGCCTTTTTTGCAGCAACCGGAACGGATTTCACGATGGCAGAAGGCTAAGCAGCTGGAAGCCTTTTTTTTACCGGAGGCTGAACATCGGGAAAACTTTTTTGAGGTTGAGCAAAGGGATAAGGCTGAGAGCGGTGAGAAGAGTGAAGAAGAGCGGAGAAGTATGAAAAGAGCGCTTGAATTCTTTTTTGCCTTTACTGCCCTTTATTTTCTAAAGTATGAAGAAAATGAACTAAAATGTCTAGTAGATGCTTAAATATTTCAATTTCTGACCAAAAATAATGTTGGACGGTATTAGTAATACTTGCCATTTTGTATTTCACCTACAAGTCAATTTAGTTTTTCGTCCAATGGTTGCGTGTTTAACGAAATTTCCGTTCAACGTTCAGTGTTGGTCAAAATTTCCGTCCAACACTCGTTTGTTGGACAGAATTTCTGTCCAACATTTCCGTTCATTCTTATTTGCAACAGAAAGTTGTGATTTTTTTCAAATTACCGACCAACATCAAATGTTGGTCGGAAAACGCGAGATTTCCAGCAGTGGTAGGTGGTATTTCATGTACCTGCTGTTGGTTACTTTGTTTCCTTGCTTGCTTGCATGCTATTATTGGTTGAATTAAATAGCAACTAAATGTATACTTGAATTATAATACATTAATTAATATGTTTACTAATTTGATTAAATAAATTTTTTTGTAGGTATTCGAACATGCACTAGTACAAAAAAAAAAAAGCTTTTAGAGGCACCCATAAATGGAGACTGTGAAAGTCCTCCACTTTCCGAGTCACCTGTAAAGGGTGACTCGAAAAGTGGAGGATGTTTTTTTTTTTTAATTTTTTAATACAGAGTATCCGAGGCACATGCTTCGCTGCAGGTGCCTCGGATTCTCATTTATTATTATTATTATATTGCTTTTCCGCGGCACCTCTGATATGATGGGTGCCGCGAAAAGTATTTATATATTTTTTTATTATTTCTTTCCGCGTCACCCTTCTCTGAGAGGGTGACGCGGTTTTATATATATTTTTTTATTTTATTTAAAAATTTAATATTACCTAATTTTATTGATTATATTCAACCTGTACAGAATTTTATAAATTCACCAAATGCACACAAAAATTTATCAAAAAAGAATAACAATTAATTAAACTATCTATAAATATTCAACAATAAATAAATTAAAATCAACTAATAATTAACACTAATAACTATAAACCCAAACACAACAATATATAAAATTCACGAGTAATAATCAACACAATAAAATACCACAATACACTTATAATATCAACACAATATATAATAACAATCAACACTACATTCAAACATAATCTAAGCATAAGTTAATGTTTAAACTAAATTTACACGCACTCTTCTAGAAAATATTATTATTGTCAATGAGAGTGGTCATATAAAAAATCATTGAATTAAATGTGACAATGTCAAAATAGTGTGAAATTAATGTAGAATTTGCCTCATTAAAAAGTAGTTTTTTTAGTATTTGAAATTGGTAAATAAATAAATAAATATTTATTTATTTATTAAAAAACTAAATTAAAATTTATATTAAACAATACAACATATATGTGGTCCCTATTAATAAAGCCAACATAGTACTACATATCACTTACATACTACTTTTCACTTCAAAAAAAAATAAAAAATGATCCCTATATTTCATATGATGCCAATACAGTACTAGTATTCACTTGCATAAATCCAACAACTTTTCAATTAACAAAATATATTACTGCTTTTTCACTTCCCAAAACAACAAAAACATCACAAACAAATGGTCCCAACTCCCATATAATGCCAACACAGTACTAAACAAATGGTACCTTCATCATCTCTTAAATACACAAAGCCAACTGCTTTTCAATTAAAAAAAAAAAAAAAACATCAATTAAATACACTTATCATTTTGACATTGTCACATTCTTGTCTCCAATAGCATCCATTGATCCAATTAATTAAATTAAAGGTAAGAAAATAAATATATGTACCTCGTGGTTAACTGGTTGGTGGAGTGGTGTGCCTGTGCGATGAGACTGCCTTTGCTCTACTGGAAATCATTGCTAGTTTCTTCACCGCAACCACATCCCCGTTCTTTAGTGTTCCCTGAATGTTTGTCATATATGGCTTTGATTATTAATTTTTCTGAAATTCCTGACAAATAGTAAGATGAGCAAGAAAGGAATTGAAATATATTGTTGCTAACCTTGTATACATCACCAAAACCTCCTTGGCCGAGTTTATTTTCTTCACTGAAGCCTTTGGTTGCGGCTTTCAAATCTTTATATCTGTAGTTCTCTGGACCCTCAACTGAGTTGCCCCCAGAATATTGCCTAAACAATTTTAACAAAACAGTAGGTGAAAGTTGTATCAATAAGATAGATTGGATATGATAATGACTGCAACTAAATTAAACTAACTAGCTTCAATTCGATCACCTCTTCTTGCTGCATTTGGCTTTTTTGATCTTCGATAAAGGAAAATGGCTGCTAATACCAATATGATTCCCACACCACCGACTACACCTGCAATAATAGCTTTCTTTTTTCCTGAACTCCCTGGAGAAGATGGATATGATGTTAGCAGGGTAAAAACGAGTGCTAGCTGCTTAAGAAACATTAAGAGATCAGAACAGTTTCTAGGATGGATATGGGTACGGTCAAGGCCATTTTTTTCATTTTTGTTAAGCATTCATCGTTGTTAACCTAGCTCTGGATGTCATGAGACCTCTTATATGGAGTCTCAGGCCTTTCATTTTTTTCATGAACATCAAATTCAATGTTCAAGCTTCAAGGGAATCAAGACTAGAAATCATCTCAGAAATTAATGTTCAAGCTAGAAATCAAGGAGAGGAGATCGGAACAGTGAGTACCTTCGTCGTGGATCTGTGGTCCGTCGAGGAGCTACGGATGGCGGAGCAGGGCAGTAGGCGAGGCGGCGAGGCTGTGTTCCATTGGAGATTTGGAGGCTGTGTTCGTCGTGGATCTGTGGACCGTCGCACCTGTCTGCTAAGGGAGGCGAGAGGACGGAGGCAGCGAGATAGAGGCGGCGAGAGCCGGACGGACGACGGAGGCGGCGAGAGCCGGACGGACGACGGAGGCGGCGAGAGCCGGAGGCGCGATGATGGCGACCGAGTTAATTTTCAGATCTAGTCCAAGGGTTTTTTTTTTTTACTTAGGTAGATTTTTTTTTTTACTAAAGGTTAAAGAGTTATTTTTGGGCGAGAATCCGGAGCTCCGGTCTAGACAGGTGCCTCGGATTCCAATATTAATATAATAATAATATTGGAACCCGCTTCACCCTTTCCTAGTGGGTGCCGCGGATTCCAATATTATTATTATAATAATATTATATCCGCGGCAACCGCTTAGGAGGTGCCGTGGATTATAATATTATTATTATAATAATATTATATCCGCGGCACCCTTTCCAAGTGGGTGACGCGGATTCGCATATTATTATTATATTAATAAAATTTACGAGGCACCTCTTTGTAATTGGTGCCTCGGAAAGTTCTCTCTTTTTCTATCCAAGACACCTTCACCTTGAAGGTGTAGTGCAAAGTACTACTTATATATCCAATTATGTAGTAGTGATGCAACCTACTCCATAAACGAAATAGATAAAATCTGAGAGTTGTGGGCAAAATACTTTGTAGATGAGTGCGTGTAACTTTATTTGGTTTAAACATTATCTTTATTATTATTAACTTATGTTTATGTTTTGTTAAAAAATTGTATCTTGATTTCAATTATAAATGTGTTGATTGTTATTATTGTGTTGATTATTAATTGTGAAGTGTATATAGTTATGTTTGTGTTCATGATTATTAGTGTTGGTTTGAATTTGTTGTTGAATAGACAGTTTGAATTAGTTGTTATTAGTTTTGTATTTTTTTGTGTGAATTTGAAAAATTCTGTACAGGTTTCATTTTGAGCAAATAAAGCTAACCACTTTCATAGGCTCTAGAATCCGAGGCACTTGTGTAGGTGACTCGGAAAGTACTTTATAGGTAACTCGGATCCTATTTTTTGTACTAGTGCAATATTAATTTTCTTAATGTAAGAAATAAAAACCAGGAACACAAAAATGATCACGCAGTTCGGAGCGAAACCTCCAACGTCTGCGAGGCAGCTTCCAACGTCTGCGGGACAGCTCACGTCAGCCCAATCCACTAAATGTTCACCAAGGTGTTATATGGGCTTGTATAAACACATCCGTAGCTACACAACCAACTACAACCTTCAAAACACCTCGATTAGGATTATTGATACGTGCATGCCATCTTTGACTTCAAATGTTGATACAACTGAATCAGTTCCAGACCACTTTTCCAGCGATATGATGTCCCCACGTTAAACCAATATAGAAACCAGATTAGCAGTACGTAGTAGAATACGTAGAAATTTCCTCTCAAAAATATTATTGGAATCTGTGAACTTCAATGAGAGAAAGTCCTTTTTATAGTGACTTCCCTTCAACAAACTTGTCCCAAATAAAACCTGTCCACGGTTAAAGTAGCTATGATGTTCTTGTACTATAACATTTTGTTCAATTTAGTCCTTATACATTTATTTTGTTCAATTTAGTCCCTATACTTTCAAAAGTGGTGCAATTAAGGACAATAATTAACGGTTTTAATAGTACCATTAACTTAGGTTACGTGTCGCTGACGATATTTATATTCCTACTCATATATTACTTTATAAATATTCAAAATTAATTATTTTTACCCACAATATATTATATTAGTATGTCCAAAATAAATAATTACAACCATGCTTCTAATAAAATTTAGACAATTGTCCTTAGTTTTACCACTTTTTAAAGTAGAGGGACTAAATTTAATAGAATAAAGGTACAAGGATTAAATTGAACAAAACACTATAGTACAGGAACTTCATAGGTACTTTGACCCCTGTCCACTCACTTGAGAAATAACATAGACATAGAAAAATAATTAATCCTTAATAATAGATTCAACTCCACATGATTCGTTGACTCCCATTTTAAAATATATGTTCACTGATTCTGTTCCAGGAGTTGTGTCAGTAGCAGAAAATAAACGTTTGATAGGAGACGGTCCATGTATCACACATAAAATAAATTCTAATTATTTGACAAATAAATTAGCCAACTTATAGTAGAATTTTAATGTGTATCAATTTTGTACACTTACTTATAATATAATAATTATAATAAGTTCTTATTTTTCATCATTTATTTTCATAAAAAATAATTTATTTTGTCATAAATTTATTAATATATTTGTTGAAATGTAAATAAAAATTAATCGGTTTTGGACGATTTGAGATGATTTTTATCTTATGTTAACTTTTTTGATCTTGTTGAAATTTTTTTTCCTTTTTTTGAAGGAAAAAAGATATATTGTTCACATTGAGACTCGAACCCACAATCTCCTGCTCTGGAGGCGAGCGCTTTATCCATTAGGCCACACAAACATTTTAACCTTATTGAGATTGTTCATCATACTATGATTGACATCCCTATGCTTAACAAGTAGAGTGGAAGCTTTGCCATCTATGTGGTCTCCGAGCCTGGAAACTTCTATAGGAAAATGAAAGCACATGCCGTAAAGATTGGTGTGCTACACTAGGAGATGACGTCGGATATGACATACACGTGAAACCTATTACAGATCACCAATAGAAGCGCCAAAAAAAAAAAAAAACAAAAATTGTTTCGTAAACTATAGAATTTTGAAATTCAAATTCAAGTTCTAGTCTTCTAGAAGGACTACAACATTTTTCCTCTTATTTTCAACTATTCTAGAAATTACATGTTGGGGATACATCATGCATCGACGACGACAAATCAAGAAATATAAATATAACTCTCAGACAGTTCAATTAGTTCTTGTGTGATAGATTATAGGCAAAGGTACATTATCAAATCCTATCAGTTGCAATGTAAAAGTTACATCCAATATATGTGGTGGTCTCTGACTGATAGTGCTAATTGCCGCGTAAGCAGTAAACCAATTAACACAAGACCAATTAAATCAAGTAAATATCTTTTATTGATCGAGGGAAAGACCCTAAGTACAATCTAAAATAGTTGCTCCGAGTACCGACTGACTGCGGTCGGGATGCTCTGATAACAACCTGTCGATCGTCCAAAAGTCCCTCACACTATCGCTATCGCGGGTATTTATAGTCACGGAGCCGGAGACACAAGTCCGGCCGTCCGGCATGCCTCCCACGTAGCAACCACGTGTCGCCCTCCCGGGTGCCCTGCCTGTCAACGCGTAGAACCGCCACGTGTTTCTCTTCAGCTCTATCGCTAAAAGGCAACCGCTCGGTGGTCGTCAACGCCGGTCGGGTGATGCCCGGTCGGGAACCGACCGGGTTCTTCATGAGAAAAACCGACCTGAAACCTGCAAAGACAAGAAGAAAAGGACAAAGGCATGTCGGTCGGGGTATTCCCTACCAAGAGCGCCCCAGCCCGTGCCTTTTCGACCGTCCGGGAGAAAACGGGACGGGATGATGAAGGCCAACCGTCCGCCGCTAAACCGACCGGCCAGCTGTCATTCCCTCCCTTGCCACGTGTCGACGACTGCCGGCCTCTGCGACCGCAATGGTCACCTCGGAATCAGGAGCGGTCGCGTCACGCAAGTGGACTGGTTTTCCGCCCAAACGCTCACCTATAAATAGGCCCTTAAGGCCCTCATTTGAACTTTCCTCAACCTTATGAATCGATCGGTATACTCAGAGAGTCCCGAACGAAGCATTTCAGCAGATCGGTCGAGCAAGCAACCTTCAAGCTTCTCAAAGTCTCCGCACTCAGTAAGTTCTCTAGTCTTCAGCTTTTACTTTTTGCTTTATGTTTCTGCATAGCGGTTGGTAGGGTAAAACTGACCTCGACCCAAACGTCCCGAGTCCCACACTAATCCCGACTGGCCTTTAGGTAGACAACAATGTCAGATTCGGACAGCCAGAACGTGTCAGTCACGGACTACGATGATGAGGTCGAGCAAATCAGTGAGGAAGTGGACATAATGTCCTACTCGCCGGAGGTCGTTCAACGACCACAGAAGACTCCCGAGCGAGCCCCCGAGCGACAAAGGTCATTGAGCTCGTCTGGGACATCGGGGTCGAGCTCCAGCGGATCGGGAAGCTCGAGCGGGGAAACGTCGACGAGCGGGCAAAATTCCCCGGCCGAAGGCATTCGAAAAACGCCCACTAGGGTAATTGGGGATTACCCTCAGGCCGAGCCCCAAGAGGTCGAGCGAGAAAACGCGGCGGAACCGGTCGAAGAAGACCCGGCCGAGCCGGCGGTACCGGCCGGGGACGGGTTCGAATTCCTGAACAGCGAGAGCGTCGAAGGTCAGATGAGCAAACTGACGAAGGGAGAAGCGGCCAAAATTGCCGCAACACTCAACGGTCGGGCCGAGTTTGACACCAGCCGCCAGCTCGGGAACGTCATCGATCGCCACCGGGGAAAGTGGATCGGGATGCACTACGACTCTCTGATGGCCCCGATCACTTTCCCCTTCTCGGGCCTTCTCACAGCATTCCTGGGCTACTACCAGGTCGTTCCCGCACAAATCTGCCCGAATGCGCATCGGATGATCGCGTGCTTTCCTCAGATATACGGCCGGCACAACGTGGCCTGCACAATTGAGCTATTCAACTTCATATACCAGGTGAAGGTCTTGGCGGCTTCATACGGGAGCGGGTTCCTGATGACCCAATCCCGAGCGAATATGTGCACAATTGAGGGTCTGCCCAGGAACAACCGGGGATGGAAGAACCGGATCTTCTCGGTCAAGTATGACCCTTGGATCCTCCCGGTTGAGAGGGCTTGGAGCCAACGATTCCGAAAACAAGTCAGCCCGGTCGAGACAAAAGCCCTCCGGGACGCAGTCACCAAGATCTCGGGCGAGATCTACGAGTACAGAATCTTCCGGACGGCCGAAAGCTATGAGGCGGCCCAATTGCCCGAGCCGATCTACGACCTGATCGAGAAGTATAAGCCCGAGCCAATGGGCGTAACGATCACAAGGGCGCCCGCTCGGGGCAAGCGGAAGGGAAAAGGTCTAAAACTAACCATCCCTCCCCGATCTTAACACCCCGAACGCCCTTTATTCCCGGTCTAACCAACTTCTTCTTTTTGTTTGTAGAGATGGCAAGTTTTGGTGATGATGACGTTCCTCTGCCCCCGGTTGCAAAGATCGTTCTTGGGAAGAAAAAGCCCAAGACCAAA